AGCCAGAAGTGGCGCTGTGGCTCAAGTGGTAGAGCGCTAGCCTTGAGCTGAAGAGCTGAGGGACAGCGCCCAGGCCCAGAGTTCAGGCTCCACGACCAGATCCAAAAAAAAAAAAAAAAAAGAAAGAAAAGAAAAAAGAAATGATCAGCGGCAGGTGCCAATCAATGGTTCACACCTATAAGCTTAGCTACTTAGGAAGCTAAGATATGAAGATCATGTTTGAAGCTACTCCTGGGCAAGAAAGTCCATGCCACAAGACTCATCTCCAGTAAACTACTTTAAAAACAAAAAACAAAAAACCAGAAGTACAGGGGGAGGGGGGAGGCTGGGAAGGGATGTGAAGGGTAAACCAAAGGAGGAGGCTGCAATGCTTGGTAAGAAATGTACGCATTATCCTGCCCATGTAATTGTAACCCCTCTGTACAGTATATTCACAAATAAAATAAAATTAAATTAAAAAAAAAAAAACACAGAAGTAGCCGGGCGCTGGTGACTCACGCCTGTAATCCTAGCTATGCAGGAGGCTGAGATCTGAGGATCGCGGTTCAAAGCCAGCCCGGGCAGGAGGGACCGTGAGACTCCTATCTCCAATAAACCACCAGAAAACCGGAAGTGGCGCTGTAGCTCAAGTGGTAGAGCGCTCGCCTTGAGCTGAAGAGCTGAGGGACAGCGCCCAGGCCCAGAGTTCAAGCCCCACGACCGACAAAAAAAAAAAAAAAGATTTTAAAAAAAAGCTCATGGGCTGGGAAGGTAGCTCAGTGGTAGAGTGCTTGCCTTGCATGCCTGAGGCCCTGGATTCGATTCCTCAGCACCACATAAGCAAAAAGGAAAAAAAAAAGCCGGAATTGGCGCTGTGGCTCAAGTGGTAGAGCGCTAGCCTTGAGCTGAAGAGCTGAGGGACAGTGCCCAGGCCCAGAGTTCAGGCCCCATGACCAGACCCCCCCCCCAAAAAAAAAAAAAAAAAAAAGCTCAGGAACAATGTCCAGGCTCTAAGTTCAAGCCTTAGACCCTAAAGACAGAGGAGGAGGAGGGGGAGGGGGAGGGAGAGGAGGAGGAGGGAACGAATAGAAAAGAGTAGAAGAAATGACCAGTGGCAGAAGAAAACCCTAGTAGGGCTTAGGAACGTTAAGCCCTGGGGTGGAGTGGAGCAGCTCTTCCTGCTGGCTTTCTGAAAACCCCTCTATTCTCTAACCAAGAAACGCTTACCAAGGTGGTGGGGTCTGAAGCGAAGAGGCTAATGGAAAAGTGAGGGGAAGGTGTTTGAGGGAGATGGGGAGGAGCCAGGAGGCTGTGGTTGGAGTTGGAGGATACCAGGGAAGGCCTGAGGAGGAGGTGAAGGAAACTGATGCCATTGAGTTCCTTCTAGGTTGGGATGGAAAGTCCTCACCCTCTGTTCACACTTAGATTTTCCTTCCCCGAGGTGGGCAAGTGGCATGGGGCCCTTAGGGTGAGTAATAGGAGTCCCCCCACATCATAACCAACTTTTAGCCCTAGGCTGCCAGAAGCAGAGGGGGATCCGAGGCCCTATCTAGGTCACCCCAGTGGGTCACTCCACCCTCTGTAGCATACCACATAGCTGATTTTCCTCTCCCTGGCAACCCAGGTTAAAGGAAATCCCAGCTTCACTGGGGGCCCCCACTCACTGGGGCTATATTTCCGATTCCATCTCTGTCTTTTTCTCTGCGTCCAAAAGAGCCTTCCTGTATGGTGGAAGGATGACAAAATTCTTTGCTTAGCCAAATGTTAACCACTTTTATGTCTAATTTGAAAATGTACTTATAAAATTTAGTTTTAGTTAAAAAACAAACAAACCCTATCTTGGGTCTGGGAAGGTGGCTCAGTGGTAGAATGCTTGCCCTGCATGTATGAGGGCCTGGGTTCGATTCCTCAGCACCACAAAAGAAAAAAGCCGGAAGTGGCGCTGTGGCTCAAGTGATAGAGCACTAGCCTTGAGCTGAAGAGCTGAGGGACAGCGCCCAGGCCCAGAGTTCAGGCCCCACAACCAGATCCCCCCACCCCCCCAAAAAAACAACAAACTACCTTGCTTGCTCTGTGTGTGTGTGTGTGTGTGTGTGTGTGTGTGTGTGTGTGTGTGTGTGTGTGTTTTATAAGTTCTGGGGCTTGAATTCAGGGCTTGGGTGCTGTCTTTGAGCTTTTGTGCTCAAGGCTAGTATTCTAGTCCTTTGCGCCACAGCTCCATTTCTGGCTTTTTGGTGGTTAATTGGAGATAAGAGTCTTGCAGATTTTTTCTATCTGGGCCGGTACCAGCCTCCTGAGCAGCTAGGATCACAGGCATAAGGCACCAGCACCTAGTTCTTTATTTCTCTTTCTTTCTCTCTGTCTCACCCTTTCTTCCTTCCTCCTTTCCTTCCTTCCTTTCCTACTTTCTTTTTCTTTCTTTCCTTCTTTTTTCTGTTTCCTTCTTTCTTTAGTTATCTAACTACTTTTTCTTTTTTTGTCTGTCATGGGTCTTGAACTCTGGGCCTGGGTGCTGTCCTTCAGCTCTTCAGCTCAAGGCTAGCGCTCTACCACTTGAGCCACAGCACCACTTCCGGTTTTCTGAGTAGTTTATTGGAGATAAGAGTCTCACGGACTTTGCTGCCCTGGCTGGCTTTGAACTGTGATCCTCAGATCTCAGCCTCCTGAGTAGCTAGGATTACAGGTGTGAGCCACCAGTGCCCAGCCTAACTACTTCTAAGAAGTTGTACAAAGGAATTTTTCTTTTTTCCCCTCACTGGTTCCGGGATTTGAACCCAAGGCTTTGCTTTACAGCTTGAGCCATGCCTACCTCTTGGTATCTGATCATCTTTTCTATCTGGTCAGGTTCCTCACCCTCGGGGTGAGGGCTGAGTATCGTGGCCTGTCTCAACAAGTATTATCCTGCCCCTCGTTTTTCTTTACTCTTAACTATTTTCCATGCATTGGTCCCCCTATTCTGTTTCCCCTTGCCTATGCTATATTCAGCGTTGAGTCTAGTCTCTCTCCCCACTGCAAGACACCGTAGCAGTAATCTTCACACCTATCCATGGTTCTGAATATAGCCTTCCTTACTGTGATTTAACAAGTACTATTGAACAACATTTTGGATTTTTTTGTTTGTTTGTTTGCTTTTGGTTTTGTTTGTTTTGGGTCTGGTCATGGGGCCTGAATTCTGGGCCTGGGCGCTGTCCCTCAGCTCTTCAGCTCAAGGCTAGCGCTCTACCACTTGAGCCACAGTGCCACTTTCAGCTTTTTTCTTTTTGCTTATGTGGTGCTAAGGAATCGAACCCAGGGCCTCAGGCATGCAAGGCAAGCACTCTACCACTGAGCCATCTTCCCAGCCCCTGCTTTTGGTTTTGTGTCAATACTGGAGTTTCTCCTTAGAGCCTGGCCTGGACATTGTCCTTTAGCTATTTCAAAGCTCAAGGCTGGAACTCTACCACTTGCACTTCACTTCCAGATTTTTATGGTTAATTGAATATAAGGGTCTTGTGAATTTTCCTCCTCTGACTGGCTTTGACTGTGAGCCTTACATTTCAATCTCCTGATTTCAATCTCCTGAATAGCTAGGATTATAAGCCTAGTTGGTTTGGTTTGGTTTTGATGCTGGGGATGAAACCCAGGACCTTACACATTGAATAATTGTTTTCTTTTCTTTTCTTTTCTTTTTTTTTTTTTTGGGTCTGGTCGTGGGGCCTGAACTCTGGGCCTGGGCACTGTCCCTCAGCTCTTCAGCTCAAGGCTAGTGCTCTACCACTTGAGCCACAGTGCCACTTCCGGCTTTCTTTTTCTTTTTTTTTTTCTTATGTGATGCTGAGGAATCGAACCCAGGGCCTCATACATGCAAGGCAAGTGCTCTACCACTGAGCCACCTTCCCAGCCCCTAATTGTTTTCTTTAGCAGCGTACTCTATCTCTCTTTTCAGTTTACCCATTTCTCACCCCTCCCCAAATCTGTCAAAAAGATCAATGAGATCAGAGTTGTCAATTGAATCCTTTGCCCATATCTTACTTTTTTTTTTTTTTTTGTCGGTCATGGGGCTTGAACTCTGGGCCTGGGCGCTGTCCCTCAGCTCTTCAGCTCAAGGCGAGTGCTCTACCACTTGAGCCACAGCATCACTTCCTGTTTTCTGGTGGTTTATTGGAGATAGGAGTCTCAGGTCTCTCCTGCCCGGGCTGGCTTTGAACTGCGATCCTCAGATCTCAGCCTCCTGAGTAGCTAGGATTACAGGCGTAAGCCACCAGCACCCGGCCCATATCTTACTTTTTGTTTCTTTTTGAGGGGTTTTAGTGCTAAGGGATGACCCCCAAAGGCCTTGCGCATGTTAAGCATGAACTGGCCTTCCCCATCAAACCATATTCTTTGTTTTTATTTTCTTCAGTCTTCCATTTTGCTCACTGAGAAATGGAAGGGGATGGAGCAACCGGCAGGTGGTAAGGGAAGTAAGGCCAAAACCACTGAGTGTCCACCATGGCAGAGCTGAGCTGAATGTTGAGGGTTGAGCCTTCTCTTTTCAAGTGTCCAAAATGCAGTGTGCATTCCTTAGCTCCATTTTGTATTTACAGACAAGGTTGGCTGGTTCAGAGCTGGAGGTAGTGGTGGTTGGATTTGAATGTTTTGGAGCCCAGACACCTGAGTCTCTGGAAGTCCCTTGGCTGTGATTCAGTTACCTGAGAATGTGGTTCCTCCTTGCTGTCAGGCCACGACAGACAGCCGGAAAGAACTGCAGTACTTTCCCAGCAGAAATCTGGAATTCCCAGAGTGGGGAATTCCCCTGCCTTAAGGGACAGGTAATTAGGGTCTCCGGCTCTTGTTTCCTGGGTGAGGAAGGCTATGGGGCAGATTTCATTTTGTAGAGTGTCTTAGGCCCCAGAAGCCTAAGGACTGAGATCTGGGTCCAAGAATCTTTAGCACCTTAGAGAAAGGACTGCATTCAAGAAGTCTCCCCACTCCCCTGTTTCTTCATCCACCCACCTCACCCCCAGAGACAGATGCAGAATTAATCCAAGAATGAAAGTGTATTTCTTTTCTAAGCAATCTTTATTTCTCGCCACTGACTAGTAGGACGATTACAAATTCAACTCCCCTGGGGAGCAGAGATTCAGCCATGTAGTGACCACAGTCCAGTCACCAAATCAGCATTATTAAGACAATTGGATTAGATAGTTTGTTTTAGACATAAGCCAAAGGAGGTACAGGGGCCTGAGGGCCAGGTAGAAACCGCCTATAGTTCAGCTCCATTTTCACAGAAAACATGTCTGGCGTAAGGCAGCTCCTACATTGGGTCCCCCCCAGGACACACCTTGACCTTCCAAATAAATACATTCATGTGTTAATAAATAAATAAATAATAAATAATAAATAACCACAAGTACAATCATAAATAGAGAGGGCTTGCCCTGTGAGGACTCTGCATGTCAGGGAAGAGTCTAGAAACATCTGAAGAGAGGAAGGCCTGAGGTGGACTCCTGCCAAATGCTAGTTGAGGTCTTCTTCGAGGGGGTTTTGGAACCAACACCTGTCTGATCCCCTCATTCTAGACATTCCATTGGAAGCCCCAGTGAGTTCTAGAAATTGCAGTTTGAGTGACTGCCCTATTATCCAGGCCACATATCCCTGCATCTTTCATTTCGGAGTGTTGTTGATGATATTTATAAGCTTAGGGTTCAACTCTGATCCCCTAATTCCCTTCCTAAACCAGAAGAGGAGAAGGGCATCTGTGACAAATGAATGGACATCCATCCCTTTCACAAGGCAATGATCCCAAAGTAGACTTGCCCGGCTTCGGCAAAGTCTAGATATTGGGGCAGATTGACCTCAGCGCTAAGTCGATCACCCTTTTCCAGCTGGAAGACCCCTCCTAGGTAAATGGGCTCATACCAGGGCTTGAGCTCAGGCCCCTCTGGGATCTCCTTCTGGCACGGGCTCTTGATGGCAGAAAGGAGGTTAACTTTTTCCGGGTAGGAGGTGGCAAAGCGGCCGACGGTGTGGGTAAGGACGAGGAAAGAGGAGCAGCCTCGGCCCTTGAAGAGAACTTGTGAGTAGACGAGGTACAGCCCGTTAGATGGCACCACCAGATGGTTGTCTATCAGTTCCATGCCATTGGCCAGGAGGGCATTGGCACGTCGGCTCAGCCACTGCAGCTGCTCTTGCACTCGTTGGTCTGCTGCAGGGAAGGAGGGAGATGTGAGTCAGTGTGTCCCCTCTCAGTTCGCTCCCCACATCCTGGCCCTCAAGTTCTGCCCACCCCCCACTTCCGGTTCCTGTACGGTCTTTTCACATCCCGTTTAGTTGTGAGGTCCTGAGTATCCTTGAGGGCTTGCTGTTCCTCCACCTCCCCTTGAGTTCCTCAAGTAAAGTCTCCCAGGTCTCTCTATTCTCAGCTGGGTTAAGCCCCCCAAATCCTATGCCTCAGTGTCCCACCTGCTCCTTCCCTCAGGCACACACTCAAGAGTTCTTACCTACAACATGGGCTACAGGCTTGTCACTTGCCATTTGAGAAGAAGATCCTGAGGAAGAAAGAGAGAAGAAAAAAATCTGAGTTCCAAGCAAGGTGCTAATGGCTCACACCTGTGATCCTAGCTGCACAGGAGGCTGGTATGAGGGTCACAGTTCAAAGCCAGCCTGGGCAGGAAAGTCCATGAGACTCTTATCTCTAATTAGCCAACCAAAAGCCAAAAGTGGAGCTGTGGTTCACGGTAGAATGCTTGCCCTGAGCAAAAAAGCTAGGGCACAACACCCAAGTCCTGAGTTCAAGCCCCCCATACCAGGAGAAAAAAAAGCTGTGTTCCTTAATCTTCCCAGAAAATATGTGTCCGCTTTGATCACGATTGTGCTCCATTCCTTTTTAGAACCAAAGTTCTGAATTTGTCCCACTGTTCCCATTCCCTCCCTACCCCAGATTTAAGAGAGAGGCTTTGGGAACACTTACTAAGTTCGAGGGTATGGGCCAGTGGATTGATGCTAGGGAGGCCATTCTGGTACATCTGGGGGGAAAAGGAGAAAGAGAAGATCAGCATCAGAGGAGTCAGCCCCAAAGGAGAATGCCTGACTGCTAGCTACCTTGTCCTGCTGTCCCAGGTCTGTTTTTGCTCTCCATTCATCCATTTATTTACCCACCTACCTGGCCAGTCAACAGCTTTTCCATTGAGTGCCTTCCAGGAGCTAGGTACCAAGTCTTATCTCTCTTTCCTGTTCTCTCTGGTTTCATATCTGCCACATCTCTTTCTATTTTGCCACTTTTATCACTTGGTTCTTCCCCTTTCCTCTGCCCACATTCCATATCTCTCTTCACATCTCTCTTCATTTATGTGTAGCTGCTCATTCCTTCAGTCATTCATTGGAGTCATTTAGTATGTCTGTCCATGGATCAGACATTCTATTTGTCTTTCTCTCCTCTCCCCATCTCTTTCTGCTTCCTCATCTCTCTCCTCATTATTCTTTCTCATCAGCACCCATTTTTCTCTCACCACATCTTTCCCTCTCCTCCCTCAGTTCTGTCTGGGCGATAACAAAGGCTGGCAAGGCACTCACCTCTTCTCGCTGGGGGCCGATCACTCCGAAGTGCAACAGGCAGAAAAGTGTGGTGGCTCCTGCCACAAGCAGGAAGGAGAAGAGGCTGAGGCACAGATACCTTCTGGACCTCTGGGAGCTTAGCTTCTTGGGCAGTGCCTCCTCTGCCAGCTCCACGTCCTGGATCATGCTTTCAGTGCTCATGGGGTCCTTCCCAGATGAAGATGGGGAGCTCTGGGGCAGTGAGAGGGACAGAATCAGCCTGTCTGGCCGCTTGTCTGGGGTTATTTCCAGAGGGAGTGGGGCAGTGGTCTACAGTTGCTTCTGTCCTTCCTGGCTGGTCCCCTGGTGTCCTCTCTGAGGGAGCTTGTGCTGGCTGAGTGTGCACACAGCTGCCTTTATAGCCCTTGAGGCAAGAAGAGGGCGGGGAAAGGCTCTCATTCAACCAGCGGAAAACTTCCTTGGTGGAGAAACCCATGAGCTCATCTGGAGGAAGCGGTAGTGGGTCCTACACCTCTGTCTCAGTTTCTTCTCCATTGCGGGGGCGGAGGTTTGGAAAGTTGGGGACACCCAGGCATCAAGGAGACTCCTCACCCACCCCTCCAGGATTCGCAGGCAATTTACCCATGTGTTTCTAGGACTCTGGGAGCTAGCCCTTACTTCCTCTAATGCCAATTGTGTCTTATTTCTTTAGGTAATAGCATTTCTGGTCTATTTTCCTCTGAGGGTAGAACTTGACCTGGGGGACTGAGAGCGGGTTGGGGGGGGGTTGGGGGGGGCACGTGGGGGACTTCACAAAGCCGAGAACTCAATGGAGGAGGAAAGCTATGTCTGACTCCCAGAGCTGGTAGGGGGAACTGAGGGCAAGGCAACTTGAAACTAGGGGGATGCACAGGATCTCTGGGAGGGCTGAGTGGGAGTGGCAGGGACAAGCCTGGGACAGCCCCAGAGGGAGTAAAATTAGTCCTGGGAATTCACAGACCCCCACAGGGCAGGCTTTCTTCTTTCATTTTGACCTGGAACTTACACTGCCTCTTTTTCAGTCTTGACTTCCAAGGAACTCTGAGGCCTCCATTTTTGTTTTTTGTTTTTGTTTTATTAGGGTTTTTGGTCATGGAGTTTGAACTCTGGGCCTGGGCGCTGTCCCTCAGCTCTTCAGCTCAAGGCTAGTGCTCTACCACTTGAGCCACAGCACCATTTCTGGTTTTCTGGTGGTTCATTGGAGATAAGAGTCTCACGGACTTTTCTGTCCAGGCTGGCTTTGAACCACAATCCTCAGATCTCAGCTTCCTGAGTAGCTAGTGTTACAAGCATGAGCCACCAGTGCCCGGCTGTTTTTGTTTGTTTCAATTGAAACCCCCAACTCTCAGAACGCTGGCATATGACCATGTCTCCTCAATTATTTCCTCTTGTAGTTCTAGAGGCTCTCTCACTCCTAAGGGCTTGACACCTTCCAGAACATTCCCATAGCGCACACCATAGTTCTGGCGATTCCCTCACTCTGTGGTGTGGTCACTCACTTCTTCTGAGAGGCCTCCTGGAATCCTCACTCCTCAGAGCCTCCACATATGACCACAACTCTCCAAGAACCCTCCCCCGCTTCCCACCATTCCGTGTCCCACACTTCTTCTTTGTCTCCACAGCTTCTCCTGGCACAGTCAGGCTGCCTGGACTCCATAAATCAGCCATATATATCTGGAGAAATTTGAGTCCCTTAATCTCTTTTTTTTTTTTTTCTGTAGGTCATGGGGTTTGAACTCCGGCCCTGAGCAACTTTTGCTTAAGATTAGTGTTCTAGCCCTTTGAGCCACAGCTCCACTTCTAGTTTTCTGGTGGTTAATTGGGGATAAGGGTGCTGGTGCCTCACGCCTGTAATCCTAACTACTCAGGAGGCTGAGATCTGAGGATTGCGGTTCAAAGCCAACCCCGGCAGGAAAGTTCGTGAGACTCTCATCTCCAAGTAACCACCAGAAAACTGGAAGTGGTACTGTGGCTTAAGTGGTAGAGTCCTTGCCTTAAGCTGAAAAGCTGAGGAACAGAGCCCAGGCCCAGAGTTCAAGCCCTTCAAGTGACAAAAAACAAAACAAAACAAAAACCAGCCAACCACCACCACCACCAACAAAATGAGTCTCATGGACTTTCCTGCCTGGACTGGCTTTGAATCTCGATCCTCAGATGTCAGCCTCCTGAGCAGCTAGGATGACAGGCCGGAGCCTCTAGCACCCAGCAATCTCCTTGTTTTTCCCATAGCTTCTGACCACTCTGAGGGTCCTCAGGTGTTAGAGACCCAAGGAAACTCTCCCTCTACCCCAGATAAACACACAGAAGCAGACAGTGCTTTTTACAGACAAAAAAAACATTTATTGGGCTTCATTGAGGGTGCAGATGGTCTTGTGGGTATCCAGCCAAGCAATGGCTAGCCTCTTGCTTCCTTCTAGACCCCCTCAGTCCCTCAGATCTACTTTTCCCTCCACCTCCCTTTAGGTGAGCCCCATGTGGATATGTTCTCATTCTCCATTTCTGGGCTCATTCTCTCTTTTCTCCTGATGCCTTTTTATTGCTCCTCTTGCTCTTCATCATCTCCCATAAATAAATAACTTAATTTCCTTCTTGATAAATAGTTCCCCTTCCCTGACATCTGTTCAAGTTCTCTGTGACAGCTCATCTCCACGTCCATGTTTCCCTGACCTAGACAAGCGGGACAGACACGCAGCTCTGTCCTAGGGATTTCCTCAGAGGAGCTTCGGCATATTCCACACAGGTGTTGGACTGCTAGAATGCCTGGAAAGCTCCAGGTAACTGGAGTGGACGTCTTGAGACTGTTGGGATGGGCAAAGGAGAGTTGCTGTGACCCTTGAAATGGTCAGAATGGAGATAAATAGGGAGAAGGCCTTGAAATCAATTTCTGTCTATCTTTTTCTTTTCTAGACTTTTCCAAGTTCTACAGAGAAAAAGCTCCAAAATAGACACTACTGGGCCTTAAGTCTAGATGAGAGAGGCCGTTTGTCTGAGTAGATAGTTGGTCCCCCTGAGTGAGCACAAACACAGCGCCCACATACAGTGAGCGCATCCACGGTCCTTCTATCCCTGGACACAGAGATGTCTGGGCACTGAGGATAGGCACGTGGTTGGGGTACTGGGAGGAGAAGAGCTGGACTTCATGGGTTAGGAGGAGAGGGGTGCCGTCGGAAGGGCAGCTGTTGCCACTGAAGAACACCTGAGAGTAGACGAAGTAGAGACCAGCCGTGGGGACCACGAGGGTATTGTTGTTCACAGTGAAGCCATGGAGAAAGGTGCGATCTGTGTTTGCTGTCCAGCTCAGTGAGCCGGGGGTGTGAATGTCTCCTAGGAAAACCATAGAGGGTAGGGATGGCAAGTCAAGGGCTTATTAGGTCAGTGGTCTCTACCCTGAGAAAACAAGCCCTGGAGCACTGTGTCCCTAGGAAATGGCTGGAGAGAAGTGGAAGGGCATGGATTGCCTCTGTCCTTAGGATAGAAGTTTAGGGGAGAAGCAGAGTCCTTAGTTTCAGGGCAGGAGGTCATCTGGGGATTACATGGTTGGGTGGTCAGGGAGAAACTTACCAACAAGGTGAGCAATAGGGCTGAAGGTGCCATAGAAGGAATACTTGTGGGGGTGTTGATCTGTAGACTGGCCAATACGAGTGAGACCCTAGGGGAGAACAGTTAAGAAGGCTTTAAGGCTGTAGAGTGAGGTTGCATCACCCCAACAGTCCTTATGTCTCACCTGGGCCCCTGGTGGCAGGGCCAGTAGCAGCAGCCCCTGGAGGAGGAGGAAGGGGCTGCCAGGCACCCTCAAGAGGTGGAGACGTCCAGGTGGTGTCATGGGGGAAAATCTGCAGAGAGAGAGAGAGAGAGGACTATGAATGGGGCGGGGCCCATAGCAGAAAACAGACCTGCTGCCTGCCGGTGGGGACAATCACACTGAGACAGGAAAGCAGACCAGACACAGGTACAGAGGCCCCAGGGTAGGCAGAGGAAGGTAGAAGGAGAGAGATGGAGGGAAGGAGAGAAGGACAATGACACCATCAGTGAATACATGACAACGGTGAGAGAAATAGGCTGACAGATGGAGATTTAGAAACCATGAACAAACCAAAACTAAACCCATCAGGATCCAGGCCCAGGCAGGCTAGGACCCAGGTAGGAGGCAAGAAGGGCCCCGGGCTCAAGCAGAGGGGCAAGATGCCTGGGTAACCCAAGGAGATAGGGTGGGAAAGCCTCACCTGCTCAGTGCCTGGGCCCCGACGGACGCTTGTGTCCCTTTATAGAGGAAGCGGCAGTGGCTGCGTGGCAGGCAGCGGGCGGGTTCTAGGTCGGGGCTGGGGCCTGGGGAAGCCCCCAGGGCTTAGAAGATGCTGCTGTTTAAGCCGAAGGCAGGAAAGGCTGAGGCCTAGGAGGGAACCGCAGGCCAGAGCTTGGTGCACTTGAGTTCTGGGAAAGGGAGTCAGGGGAACTGTGGGTCTGGGACATCCAGGGAGTGGGGTTAGGTCTAGGAGTTCCAGAGAAGGAGCAAGTGTTTCGGGGAGTAGAAGGAAGAGGAGGGGGAACAGCTGGGCTGTGGCTGGAGGCCTGGTTCCTTGAAGAGCAGTCATTTGTAACACCTCTGCTCCCTTGGCTGATTATAGATAGGCTTTTTTCTACCCATTTCCCTCTCTTGCACCCTCCTGTCTTTCTTGTGCCCAAAGACATTAGTCACATTTGTCCCCATATAGTTTACTTTCCAGGTCTCTTGGCAGGTTTCATGCCAAAGGTTCCATGATAGACCTTCTTTGTCTGGGACATCTTTTGTGCCGATTTTTCCGGTGAAACTTTTAATGGAGCTCCATTTCACTCTCCAGGGTCCAGATTTGGAAGATGATTTTTTTTTGGGGGGGTGGGGAGAGTTTCTTACACAAAGATGATTGGCTTATACTCATTATAGGTCTCATCTTACTTCTGAAGGATGCTG